CGGAGTTCGTTGGTCACATTGGTAGGTAAAGTGGGGTAATTTGTTGGGCGGAATTACGACAGGATGTTCACGTTTCAGCAACATCATTCCTCCGTATTACCTGGTCTCGACAGTTCACATCAGCGGATTGCGTTCTTATATTCTTCGTTTCTATCAGTACCGATGTTTCTCCGTTAAGTCCATGGATCTTGGTCTTCCATTCAAAAGATAAATGATATGAGTAACTTATGTATTCTTTCGCGGGCGTGATACGGAAAGTGGCCCACAGTCCTGTCCAGGTTTATGGTCAGGCTCAGTCTCTAGAGATTTGCTGTCGAGTCATGATGACGTCGTGAGTTAACCCTGTAATTTTTTCTGCCTCGCTAGTCGGTCGTTTCTCAGAACATGTCTTTATGTTGACCCTCACTCGCTCAAGTTTATGTTGGCCGTTCCTCGTGAAGTGTATGTTATAGCTAGATTTGTAGCAGCATTTCTTGTATGAGGCATAAATCAATTAAAGTTATGAAATGGCGAAAGCAGCATATCAGAGAAATTTTACATTAGTAGTGGCTGTAGTGTATGGATATATTTTCCTATTTCTTTCGGTTCTTTTCCAAGATGATCAGAAAAGTGATTTTATAATAAGTGTGCCGATAGTTTGTTTTGTTAAGAAGGATGGAAGATCCTGTAATGGAACCGCTGCTTGCACGTGCTTGTCATATTCAGGCGAAACATTTTTTATTAAGCTGTTCGTACCTTATCTGCGTAACTATGTTTGGCCATTTAAGATTTCTTTCTGAATGAGGTCTGTCGATTTTGAATCAAATTTTTTTATCTGTACTTTAACTCAGATAAAACTACACGAAGGGTTTTTCTTGGAGAGTGATATATTTCACATGATCTTTAAACTTTATAATGGTTTCCTTTAGTCTCCGCCTTTTGATGACGATGAGTGGTTCAGCGGAAAGGTCGACGCAACGATTGAAACCTCACGAGCGAAAAAGACTCCTCCTCCTCGACCAGCTTTGCCGAAACTTCGTACAGCGACTTCGCCATCCTCACCCTCAGCCACCAAAGACCCATTCACATCGTCGCCGAGCGACCCGTTCCAAACAAAAAACTTTGCTGAACAGGACGATCGATTTTCCTCTGCGAACTTTGCTGATTTTTCGCAGTTTCACTGAATCAACATGTCACTATCTTTCGTCTCTTTTTGTTTGTTGTACTTGTATCTATTTGAATGTTATGTTGTTTTGTGAAAATGTGGCTCTGCGTATGCCGTTGATCGATGTTTCCCGTTGTTCAGATAATCTTGGCTTTTGATTTTTGAGGATTAATGAAGTGAAAATGGGGTCTGCTGCTTACCTGGATTTATCATTTTGACGTACCATTAGTTCATATAATTATTGGCAGCATATTTATTCGCAATTTCTGTGATGAATAAAATTCCTGACATTCCTAGCGTCGCATCAAAACTGTCTGCTTATTTGCTGAGCCATCTAACAGCGACGTTGTTTTTGACAGGCTATGGTTAAGTATTGTTTTGCCGTAACCATTGTAGCACTAGAATCAATAAGCATCACTTTGTGCGATGAGTGATGCTATAAAAGGTCGACTGAATGAAATGAGGTCTTTGACCGTGTGGTAAGTGTTTATTTTCACTTTCAAGTTTTTTTAAACGTTTTAATGCGTGTCATAAAGTGTGACAAATGTTTGAATTTTTATAACAAGTGAAATTCGTTACATCGGTTGTCGTTTGCTACCCTTAAATGATAAATGAAGCAAACCCTAGTTTCAACAACGCGCTAAAATCATAAATCTCAAAAAGCACCTATTAAATAAATTACTCCTCGTGTAATGTTGTCCAATGGTCTTTCGGTCGAAATCTTTACTGATCGTGTAGTTAGTCATGAAACCATAAAATCAGTTTCCAGTTTGTCTGCGTAATGGTTCCGAAGAAAATTAGCGAATCTTATACTTTATTCATGTGATCTTTACATCCTACGTTTTAGCTTGAAACTATGGTAGGATGTTATTAACGCACTGTATAAAAATATAACCATTTGTGGTTAGTAAATCGGTTTCGATAACCGCGTATTTTTTCGGATCACGACCACAGTAGTAACTGACATTGGCTCCAAAGTTCTCGATCCTTAGCCTCGGCAGTATGTATCCAATTCAGAAGCAGAGCCCTTCGAGACATTTGATCCAAGACATTGTTGGCTGACATTCTAAAGGGTCTTCAGTTACTTAGTTGACATAGTAGTAGGTGCTTCGCCTTCATTTCTGGAATCATTCGCTAAACGTTACCAATCATCGCAGCTATGATGGCTCAGTCTGGGAAAACAGCTGCTTTGCACTACGGCGCTCTTTGATATCTGAGCTTGGGACCATGTCAAGGCACGTGAGCCTAGCGATTCATTTCAGAATGCTCGTGGAAGCCGATTCTGGTTAAGATCGAAGATATTTAGTAATTATCCACCACGCATGACCATGGATAAGCATAAGGATAAAATTTGACTTAAACGCAAACAGCTTCGTCGTTAGACTCAGCCAGAAGTGCAGTGGTTTAAACCGTTCACAGAACGCCGCAGGTCATCCGGATTCGTTGATCAATCTTTGCCGTAGTATACCAAAAGACCTGTAACGAATTTGACAGTTTACTCGTTTGTAAAACGTTTACGTACTTGAACATTTACGTAAAGCAGTACCTTGCATTTGTAAGCTGTGTGCAGATGAAACGCTTTGACATCGCAAATCTAATTTCATAGGGCTCCTCAATTTGCGATGCCGGTGTTTCGATACA